GATAAACAGTGGAGGAAAAACAGGCACAGGTGATTATACATTTTACTTATGTGCACTTCGTAGGACCTACTTGCAATGCTGAAATAAAGTAAACAGAGGTTAATAACACACAAGCAACAAAGAGTGTTGTGATGGTAGATGGTCCAAACCCCAATAGGGGGAGACCTTCTTTTAGCATTGGGCTCTTGATTAAGGCACTTTACCCCAGGTGCTCTGTGGAAACCATATTGTGTATCATTCTGGACAAAAAGGTCAAGTTTAAAGAACCGCAAGTACAGTTATGATGAAGGAAGCATTGTGTGTGGGAAAATGAATCCCAAATTTCCCAAACTACAAGGTTGGGTTTCACTTGTTCATGAGAGGAAATAAGATGAATAATGAGGCATTTCACAAAAGTAACATGCCATGATAGAACTGTAAGCTAAAAAAAAATCTGAATGAGAAAGTTCAGAGTCCAGTCAGAAATAAATATGGATTATTTACTGTCCTGCCCTTTGCAGCCAGTAGCTATAATGTCTCCACAAAACAGAAATAACATGGTAAGAATTGTATGGTCAGAATTCCCATTTGACCAAACATAAGTATGAACTATTTCCAATGCACAAATCTGAAATCCAGCTGAATATATGATTGTGCTTGAGGAATGACACTCAAGTATCTTCCAAAGATTCAATGCCAAGAATCTCACAAGCTTTGGAAAATCAAAGCAACAAGGAACAGCTGAGAAACTTTCAAAGAAAAGCTGTGCAGTCTGACTCCTGGAAACATTGTGGCCAGCCAATCAGACTGGAACTGGTAGATTCTGACAACTCCTGCCATTTTAGCACGCAGCATCCAATCATCCTTTAGCAGTCTTGTGAAGAAGCACATCATCTTGCTGCACCAACAACAGCCATAATGGCTATAGGCTCTCAAACTACAGCACATCTGAGTGCAGATGACAACTATTTGAGTAGTGTGAGGAGGCCCTCAGACTAAAAAACAAACAAACCAACAATGGAATATGTTAAAGTGCTCTTGAATCTTCTCAAATAGACAGAAGTTTGTATCCATGTTGTTTCAAGCAGGTCCATCTGCTCTGGAGATTGAAGATTTTGGGATCGAAACCCTTGTTAAAGCAAAAAGATAAACCTCTAAAATGATAACGTGCATTTGGTCCTCAAGATGAAATGTAATTGGACTGGAAAAAAATTGTAATCAAACGGTCCAAAACACTCCAGTGTCCACACAACTCCTCCTTATTTGCTTTAAAAGCAAAAAGTAGTTTTTTTGGACAGGTAAAGAAATGCAGACATAACCCGTATACAAGTTCATAACCTGTGTATACAGTGTCTAAGACAAGAAAAGAACAGACAAAATGTTGTTCGCTGGTTGAGCTCTATTCCTTAGAAATCCTAAAGTTAAATGAAGCAGAAAAGTGAGTAAAACAACACATTGAAGTATTATAATCTGAAACCACTTAAAATATATGATAAATTATACTTCAAAACACAGAAATACTAAATTATATATGTACTACCAGTCAAAAGTTTGGAAAAATTAATTATTTTCAATGTTGTTAAAAATCTTTTATGCTCACCAAGAACGCATTTATTTGATCATAAATACAATGAAACATATTGTGAAAAAATACTACAATTTAAAAGAAACGTTTCTATTTTAAATCGAAATGTATTCCTGTGATGGCAGAGCTGAATTTTCAGCAGCCTGTTACATGATTCTTAAAAAAATAATTTGAATATGCTGATTTGGTGCTCAGTTATTATAACTTATTATTTGTACTCCTTCAGTCACAACACTGGATTTTCTCTCCTTACCTTCAAATGTTGTAATGTGGTCACGTGGATTTTGTAATGAGTGTCTCCCCGTATTCTTTTATCGCAGATCTGAGGAACAACATTTATCAATATTAAGTCCCACAGAGTTAGGTCAATGCATTTACATGAGGTTTTAATAAACAGGATCAACATTAATAACTGTTTTTGTGCACTCGGGTCAAAATAAGACAGATTTACCGTGCAGTCAATGAAGCTGTTGGCCTGGTCGTCGTCGTACACAGTCAGTAAATCGGCCATCTTTCGAAACTAACGTAAGACAGTGTTGTGTTATTGAGTGCTATTCCCACAGTATGTTCTTTGTCAAGCCATGCAAAATAAATGCAGTAAAGAAAACATGAATCAAGTAAACGTATTACACTTAACATATTAAATACATCTAGGTAATAATTCATATTTGCGACGCACCTAACGTTACTATAAAGCATCGCCCGCAAGAATTAGCACAAGATTAGCTAATTAGTGATCTGCGCTTTTAATGCATTCAATACGAAACTATTTTCTTAAAAGTATTCTTCTTATTCTTTTCAGTTTCTTCTTGAAAAGTAAAAAAAAAAAAAAAATCGACGTTAAAGAAACAAAAGTGGTGTAATGCAATTTTTCCCCCGTTAGGCCGCGTCCTTGGTCCTCGACTTCTTCTGTGGTACAATTCTCTTTGCTGCAAAAAGCGTTCGTACCACCTAGTGGATGGGTGACAAATAGTTCGTCAAAAATCAAAATTGTGTTGTTCCCAACCTGTATGACTTTCTTTTTTTCTGTGGAACATGAAATTAAATATTGTGTACAATTTAAGCGACTAACAGCCTCAGTCACCATTCACAATAAAAAGCATATAATGAAAGTGAATGGTGACCGAGACTCATTCTGTTAGTGTTTTTCATATTCTTTTGTGGTCCACTGAAGACATTCATACAGGTTTGGGACAAAACAGATGACAGATTTTTCATATTTTTACTGATTTTTATATAGATGAGCTAGAAACAGCATTCTGTTAAAATGCAGCACACATTGGTTATCCGAACGCTACCCAATTGGTGCACATACAGTTTTCCCCACCAGATGTCGGTGTGATGCAATAAGTGAAGGCTTCATGACATTTCTCAGAGAAACAGTGAAAAATACAATACAGTAATTCCACTGACAAACACAAACACTTTATGCTCTACCTCTCCTTTTCAAAAAGATTGATACAAATTATCAAATAAAAAACAACAACAACAACAGAGGAATTGTAAAGCATGTATGCATAACAGCATAGGCAAACTTATATTGAGCTAAGAAACTGATTTTTGAGTTAGATTTGACCTGCATTAAAAGCCAATAAAAATTGGATACAGGTCTAAAAATTCCTAAAGAAATTATATATATATAACCTATATTTTCAGAGCTTAATGTATATCATGATAAAAAAATAAAAAAAAAACTTTTCCTGGATAATTTCAATTAAAGGGTTAGTTCACCCAAAAATTTAAATTATGTCATTAATTACTCACCCTCATGTCGTTTCAAACCCGTAAGACCTTCGTTCATCTTCGGAACACAAATTAAGACATTTGTTGGTGGAATCTGAGAGCTGTCTGACCCTGCATAGACAGACAGCAATACAACTGAAATGTTCCCAAGTCCAGAAACGTAGCAAGGAAATCTGTATACACGGATAAGCTGTTTTCATTCAGATCAAATCACAACAACGTAGGAAACAGATCCGGCGTGACGCAGCTGACACAGAACAGCATACGCTGTTTACGTCCAGCTGATACTCTCCAAAATGGCGCTACAGGGTAATGCGGAGGAGACGAATTGTTGAATAAAGTCTTTTTTTTGTTTTTTCGTAAAAAAGCTTCGTAAAATTACGGTTGAACCCCTGATGTCACATGGATTATTTTACAGATCTCCTTCCTACGTTTCTGGACTTGGGAACATTTCAGTTGCGTTGCTGTCTATGCAGGGTCAGACAGCTCTCAGATTCCATCAAAAATATCTTAATTTGTGTTCCGAAGATGAACGAAGGTCTTACCTCCAAAATGGCGCTACAGGGTAATGCGGAGGAGACGAATTGTTGAATAAAGTCTTTTTTTTGTTTTTTCGTAAAAAAGCTTCGTAAAATTACGGTTGAACCCCTGATGTCACATGGATTATTTTACAGATCTCCTTCCTACGTTTCTGGACTTGGGAACATTTCAGTTGTATTGCTGTCTGTCTATGCACGGTCAGACAGCTCTCAGATTCCATCAATAATATCTTAATTTGTGTTCCGAAGATGAACGAAGGTCTTACAGGTTTGAAACGACATGAGAGAAATTAATGACAGAATTTTCATTTTTGGGTGAACTAACCCTTTAACTTTAGTATTTCATAATATATCATGTTTTATAACAATTAATGTATTATTTCATTCACTTGCAGTTAAACAAATGGTGTACTTAAAAATTGTGAAAATCTGTTCACCCTAAAAAACAAACAAAAAAAAAACAATGTTTGTTGAGTTGCTACAGGTGTTTAGGCAGTGTTGTAGTGTTTTTTGTTGCCATGTAGTGTTTTTTTTTTTTGTTGAGAAAACTACAAGGAAGTTTTATTAAAATTGGGGCGAAAATATGAGAGTAAAATTTGAGTGTTCAATAATTTTAACAAAATATTGGGGCTTGAGTCACCTCATTATTATGTTTAAATAATACAGCAGAAATGGGTTTACAATAAAAACTTTTATCTTAGGTTTGAGAGAGATAATCAATTCCGAGAAGACATATTTGGTACATCAATTTGTACTTTATAATAAATATAGGACCTATCATAAAGAGGCTCTGGTGTTTAGGCAGTGTTGTAGTGTTTTTTGTTGCCATGTAGTTTTTTTTTTGTTGTTGAGAAAACTACAAGGAAGTTTTATTAAAATTGGGGCAAAAATATGAGAGTAAAATTTGAGTGTTCAATAATTTTAACAAAATATTGGGGCTTGAGTCACCTCATTATTATGTTTAAATAATACAGCAGAAATGGGTTTACAATAAAAACTTTTATCTTAGGTTTGAGAGAGATAATCAATTCCGAGAAGACATATTTGGTACATCAATTTGTACTTTATAATAAATATAGGACCTATCATAAAGAGGCTCTGAAGTGTCAAGGGAAATTGCATGTTTCAAAATCCATCATATTGTACCTAAAAAATCATTATGGGGCGCATGAAGACACAGTTAAGGTCACTGGAAAGGGAAAAGGCTGGAAAGAGGCTTTTTCGGAAGCAAACCCCCGCCCCCTGCCGTCTTTTCTGACTTTCAGTCTCAGCTACGCTTGGGAGAGCCGGCCGGCGCTATTAATGTGTGTGCTCCAAGATGGAGGAGGTTTTGTGATGTTCCCCAGCTCTCAGAAGTGATCCTTTTTCCGTCCGTGTCAGATCATTCCTCAGACACAGGGGCGGAGGCCTTTTCTAAATCCTTCTGCCTGTGGGGGAAATAAAGAACAACTTTAGGATTTGGATATTAGTTTTTTTGTGTGTTTTTCGCCACAGCCATGAGCTCGGGGGAAGGGGCCGAGGAGGCGGCTAAGGACGCGGCCGATATAGCGACGTTCTTCAAATCTGGTAAGCGAAGCTCGCGAGGCTGTGGGACATTGTTTGTGCACTGGCTCCTATAGGGTGGGTGGGGAAGCTGGATCGCCCTGGACATTTGCAGTCGATTTTGTACCATATAATGCATTAAGTGCAAAAATCACTACTATGCTGGTCTGACAACTTGTATTAGGTTGAAAATGTGGTTTATAACAGCCTAGCTGGAGAAATTTCAGTTGGTTGTGTCGTTAGCTCGTGCGAGCCATTGGTGCTCGTTGCTTAAAGATTTCAGATAGATATTTACAGAAATCACTTTCACTTCTTATAGATTTCATCAGCTTAGTCAGTAAGGGATAATAGAGATCATTATGCTAAATATATTTGGGTCAATTGTGCAACTTATTGATAAAGAGCTTGTAGCTAGAAATAAGGTTAACGTTAGCTGGAGTGTTGTGCAGGCCACCTTATGCATAAAATTTTTTATACTCGCAGATAAACAGTTTTTATCCACAAACCCCCCTATGAAAAAGTCCATTATCATCTTTAGTATTATTTTCAATACTAGTATCTTGAGTTAGAGGCAGTCATAAAAAATGATGTAAATTCAGAGTGTCAGTCCCCTTTATGCCACTTCTAAATGAACTGTTACTCATCGAATATAAATGAAATGCTGGTATTTTCAAACACAAGACTATCTGTTAGCCAGTCAATATTATAGTAAATATCAGACGGATCTGAGAATCAAAGGTAGTCAGCAATGTAAACAATGACCTGGCGTGGCACTCGCTTAACTCCCTGCTAACTAGCTAGCATGGTGTGATAGATTGATGGATGTGGTGAAAGACTATTTAATACCTCAGCACTTAACGTTATAAGGCCATTATTCATGTAAAAGATATCGGCAGACACGATTGTGGTTATTTCGGTTAGATTTAGCTACGAAACAGGATTAATCGGTAGCCTGATCGACTCGTCTAGTATTTGGTTGCTAAGTTAGCAAAGCTATTCCAGAAAGATTGATGACACAATTACCTTGTCTTGAACTAGCTTATGGAATATTATATTCATTTTAATCAAATATTAGATTGCTTTTATGTTAGTGAAGATGTAATGAGGTATATACAGGAAAATAATCGAGAGCTGTCTGATGATGACGTATACAGGATTGTATATCATGCATATAATAGAGAATGATACATATCTTACTGTTTTTCTGATAGCAGGATCTACCAGCCCTGGTTAATCATTCACATGACACAGTTTAATGCTTCTGCAGAATGCATTAAGGAAATATTTAGTCCAAGACTAGGTCACAAAGTCCTATCCTAAAGAGAACAACATCTTAAACCAGCCTAAGCTGGATTGTTGGTATCCCAGCCTGGTCAAGCTGGTTTCACATGGATTCTGGGACTTTCAGTTTGTCATTCTGTGGGACCAGCTTAAATAGCAAATCAGGTTATAACAGCTTGTTTTTTGTTGGGTAACCTTCTCGAAAGTAGACAAGGATTTGTTTTGTAAAGTATTTCTCTAAATTATGTGTTACATCAAATTTGACATAAATTGCAATACCCTCTTGAGATACAAGCGAAGTGGTTTTGTTTTGGTTTAGGTAGTGAAACCACAATTGGAAGTACTGCATCTTTCTGTTTTCACACCGGAAGTCTTTGGTTGTTCCAGAACCCTCAAGAGGCTTTTGGTTTTAAGCATCTAGCTTCTTTTCAGCATAGCCGCTAAGTTACTGTTTAATATTATTACCCATTTTACAGCCTCTTGATGTTTGTGTTATCTGTCCTGTCTGCCCGTATGAATAAGTTCGGTCTTATTCAGTTTTTGCACATATTGGTGTACCGTCATGTTTGAACACGCAGCAGCTCACAGACCATGTCTCTGTCTCTAACCCCACCTCCTCACCCCTGTACTCACTAAACACCTTGACCCCGTGTTTATCATCTGTCTACATGCCATAGAAATGAATCTTCTTGTCTGCAGTCTAATACATCAATGATGATATACACTACTCCTCAAAAGTTTGGGTGGGTTTGATTTTTTTTTTTGGAAAGAATTTCATAATTGTATTCAGCAATGGCACACTAAGTTGATCAAATGGGACAGTTTCCACAAAAATAATAAGCAGCACAATTTTCTCAACATTGATAATAATAAGAAATGTTTCTTGAGCACAAAATCATAATGATTTCTGTAGGATCATGTGACACGGAAGACTGAAGTAAAGGCTGATTTATACTTCTGCGTCGGACCTATGCCGTAGGCTGTGTCAGTTTTCATTTATACTTCTTTGTCGTTGTCCACGTCGGCGTGCAGTACACATGCAAACCGCTAGTCTGCAGTGTCCACGGGCATGTTGCTGGTGTAACCCACAGTACCACGGCAAAAGCCGAAGAAGAAGCGGCTCGTCGGAGAAGCATTATAGCCGTGACGGCAGCAAATAAATATCAAATCATTAAATCATTATTTAAAACTACAAAAAGGAGACAACAACGGAACAGGAGAAGATGGCATACTTTCAATCTCCACAAGGACTTGTACCATGGCAGATCAACATTGTTTGTCGCGGACAACTACTTATGTATAATGCTATGTAGTATAATAAATAAGACATTTGTTCTTTGCTTTGTTTTATTTTATATAAGAAGGTGTAACATTAAAATATATTAAAGTGCACAAACACACAAAACTCAAGTACATACTGGAGGGAGGGGTTCTAGCAGACCAATCGCAGCGCTTGCGGTCCGCGTAGAATTGACGCGCTGTTAGATTTTTGGAGAGGTGCACGTCAGGCTATTTTCGCAAAGTTCATTCGTTCACAGCTGTAGTTATTTCTAACAATTTTAAAATGTTCTGCCACTCTTGATTGGCTTCATCAGTAACTTTTTGTTGTTAATGTCTTGCTCTTGGGAGTTTGCGTCGGGACTAATCTGTGACTTATTTATTGAGTACATAAAGAACAATCTAGACTAGTTTAAGTCATGAAGAAATATGGACAGGAAATTTTAACAACTGTCGTTAAAGGCTAAGTGTGTAATTTTTGCACCACCAAATGGAAATTAAAAAATGACTGTTTTCAAACATGTTTCCCAAACACTTTCCAGCTGCCATTGGCCAAAACAGATCGCCCCACCCCCAAACATGTGCCATTGGTTGAGCCATACACTAAATAATTGCGTTCACAGCGCGAATTGTTGCACATGAATTTGCTTTAAATCCAGGGCTCGCAAAATTTTAAAATCCCTGGTTGCCCTTCGGGCAGGTACTCTTCAGATTTTGGTAGCCCGAAAATTAATTTAAAGCTGCAGTCCATAACTTTTGGCGCTCTAGCGGTTAATAAACAGAACTGCGTGCGTCTTGCGGAAGAACATTGTAGCCGGAGCTACTTCTCTCTGTTTATGTCTATGGTGAATCACGCAGGTACTGGACTACTCCGCAGCGGTACCTACCCGAACCAGTCTAAATAGTCCGAATATAAACACTTATTATAGGTGTACCATAAGGAATTATAGGTCAAATGAAATTAAAATGCCAACGACATGTTTCTGAAGACAGTCGGTTTCCTTCAGATAAATTCAAATAAAGACTTCCAAGCTGCGTTTTGACTTGAAACGTGCAGCGCTCATATTTATTCAATGACATCATTGCCTTTTGAAGTTTGATCCAGCCGTATCGCGACTCTTGTCTTTCCGTCCCCAACTGTAAGACCTCTTGAAATTATAATTTTATTTCTTATACCATTTAACGTATTTAAAACTTTTTATGGCGTTAAGTTTGATACAACTCACTTTATGAGTTTTTAAGGACCCGCGGGAGATCTGCATTTAATATAGCCCGTCGGGCAGAGTGGTGATACATTTTGGTAGACCGACTGGAAAACACAATAGCCTCGGGACGTCGGGCTAGCTATTTTGCGAGCCCTGAAATCTCATTCTAATGTTTATGAATTTGGAGTATTCTAAATGAGAGAGCATGTGCTCGAAGTTAAACATACTCAAATCATCTCCATAAGGGCTTTCCACACAACCTTTCTTTTACAGCCTTCCGTCACTTTTAGCAAATATGACACTCTCTAAAGACAGAACCTCAAGCAATGACAAATGTGCCAACCTCAAAACCAGTTCAAACACTATAAACACCTTTATACAGACCTAGGTAACGTATCTTTCATTAGTCAGCTATATATCTGTGTTGTTTTAGAGAGAAACCTTGCAGCTCAATAATGCTTTAATGCAGCTTTCAAAGCTACGCAGATTTCACACACACTTTGTGAATGAAACCCAATGATTTATATAGTGGTATCAACATATTAAACTAGGACTGAAGAAGGTATTTTAACTTAATTGCACTCCACTATAAATGTCCTTGGATATATCAGATTTTTTTTTGTTAATTTCTTTTTGAGTACTTACTCTTATTATTAAAATCATAGTTGTATGTTCATTCTCGTTCCTGTGTAACTCTTTTTGAACTTTGCATTGTGTGCTAAATTGTTCTTCTGTTGATTTTGATGGTGCCTTTGTCCTTGGCTAATAGGCCCCCCTGGTAGTTTTTGGAGGCCTGGCAGTGGCTCCGTTTTTCTCTCTGTAGCGTTAGATGAATTTTTCTGACACTCGTTGAGGAGTTACATTTTCTGTCGTTGACTGTTACCACCCCAGCTGGATTGTCCCTGCATTCAGCCCGTTCACCCCAGGCTCTTTCTCTCTTTCTCCTTTTCTCCTTCTGTGTCTCTGTTGTGTCACGGCCTCTTGATTTATCCTGCTTCTCTATCTCTCCTTGTCACTGTCATTTTTTATTTTATTTTTTTCTTCCCAGTTTCTGGTTCGGCTCTTCTCTGTCTCCATGTGTGGCAGGGAAAGGTCGTATTGACCTACATTCGCTGGGTTAGGAATGGTGCACTCGCTGCCCCCTCTGTCTCCTGGCACAGCACAAGAAGATCCTACTTATTCAACTGCAGAGAGAGACACGCCAAAACAGCTTCCGACAGTAAATCACAGAGGCCAATGCTGGATCATCCTGAGAGAAAA